CTGAGCAGAATAGGCCCATATATGGGCATCGCTTCCGGCGCGTCAGCGGGGAAAGCCCCGACGCGCTGGGCTGGGCGGGGCTGCTTACACATTCCGCGTTTGGTCCCGGGCGGCTTCTTCCCGGCTGTGGCCCGCCTGCCCCGCGTCGGGTGCCGGGGCGCGGCGTGAGAGGTCTGCGTGCTTGCACTGGACCTTAAGTCACCTGAAAGGAGGGAGCTACGAAAGCGGACGACTGGGGGCATCCCGTTCTTCTCCCTCCACCCGCCCGGCTTGGAAGAAAAAAAAAGACCACAGAAATTAATAAAGACAATTTTTTTTACTTAAATAGATTCAATAAAAAGTCAAACACACACACACACACAAACACATCTTAAAATAGACTCTAGACACGAAGTGCGTGTTTCTTCTCCACAGTCCTGTGCAGAGGGGGAGGGCAGGGGGCGGAGGTCCCTCCCTAGTGTCCCGGCAGGCTGAGTACCAGGCGGCGGGGCCAGCTCCGCCGCGATAGCGTAGCCCCCTTCTCCCTCCCTGTTAAATACACAAATATATTATATTCAATATGAATCCGGTCTCTTCCCAGAAAAAAAAAAAAACATACAAAATACGCTGGAAGGGGGGGCCATGTAAACGTCGAGGTGGAAGGACTGGGCGCAGGCGAGCGAGCCAGAGTCCAGTGTGTGCGCGGCGCTCCAGACCTCCGGGCCGGTGCCCATCGCCCGCCCCCCTCACCCCAGGGGGGGGCGGGCGTCCAGCCTTCCCGGCCGGGGTGTCCGTGCGGGGCGAGCGAGGGAGGCGCTCAGAAGGCGTGTCCTTTGACCCCCAGCAGCAGCTGGCAGCCGTTGCTGACGTGGGTCATGACCTTCTGCTTGAGCTGGGCCACTTGCTCCCGGAGAAGGCCGGCAGTACTCGACAGCCCCGCATTCTCAGCCTTGAGCGTCTTCACCTTGTCCTCCAGGCGCGCGATGCGCTCCAGCTTCCGCTTCCGGCATTTGGTGGCCGCCAGCCTGTTCCGCAGCCGCTTTCGCTCCACTTTGATGCGCTCCTGGTCTTCCATGTTGATAGGGGACACCGGCGGGGTGGCGTCGCGGCTGCGTGCCTCTGGTACGGTCTGCGGTTCCTCCTTAAAGGCGGAGGCGCCGCGACCCAAGCCCAGCTGTGCCGGGTGGCCGCCCGCAAAGGGTGGTGCGTGTGGGAGGTAGCTGATGGTGGCCG